CAGAGACAGAGACAGAGACAGAGACAGAGACAGAGACAGAGAAGAGAGAGAGAGAGAGATAGAGAGAGATAGAGAGAGAGAGATGTGAGGTGTGTTACTGTGGTCGCGCAGAGCGCTGGGGTTTCGGTGAGCGTGGGAGCACAGGCAACACCACCCTCACGACCTTCAGCTCATCTTGTCCGTGATGTGACCCCACCCTCACGACCTTCAGCTCATCTTGTCCGTGATGTGACCCCACCCTCACGACCTTCAGCTCATCTTGTCCGTGATGTGACCCCACCCTCACGACCTTCAGCTCATCTTGTCTGTGATGTGACCCCACCCTCCCCGAGTTTACCTCGACCGTGACAGGATCGTGATCTTGATCATGAATTCACCTGAAGTGATTTAAAGTGATCATGATTTCGCATAAGATGACATGACCCTTGACCTTACATTGACTGTGACCTTTGACCTTACCTTGACCGTGAGAGTCACGCTACCACTGAAGCCATCTATGTCTTCTCGATTGAGCACGCGCGCCGTTCTGATTGTTCCGTCCTCCGCATCAACGCTAAACAATCCGCCCGGATCTGGAACACACGAGGAACAACATAAAAGAACAACGGATCTGGAACACACGTGCACTGAACAACATGAAATAACAACGGATCTGGAACGCGTGTGCACAAAACAACATGAAAGAAAAACGAATATATGAAACACACACGCAAAGAATAATGTGAAAGACCCCTCTCTTGCCTCCCCGCCTTTACCCTCTCCCCTCCCTTGCCTCCCCACCTTCCCCCTCTCCCCTCCCGTGTCTCCCCACCTTCCCCCTCTCCCCTCCCTTGCCTCCCCACCTTCCCCCTCTCCCACCCCTTGCCTCCCCACCTTCCCCCTCTCCCCTGTGTCTGCGTGCGTTGTGTTGCTCACTTGTCACCAGCTCGTAGACAATGTCGCTGGGGTCGCCGCGATCACGATCTCGCGCCTCCACGCGCATCACGCTGCTACCAGGGGGCGCATCCTCTGCTACGCGTGCGAGCGGACTCGACGTGAAGACGGGCGGAGAGTCCTGGGCGTCGTCCACGCGTACGGTCAGCACAGCGTGCGACTGCTGGTGGCCATCCTACAACACACAAACAACTTAACAACAAACACAAAAACAACTTAACAACAAACACACAAACAACTTAACAACAAACACACAAACAACTTAACAACAAACACAAACAACTTAA